AAGTTAAATGATGTTATCTTGAGATTGTAATGATAAGAAAATGATATAATTGATGATGTAATGGAATGTGGAGCGGGGGGGAAGCATTGCGGGAAGCCACAGGAGGGAGGGGAGGAAATGGGAATGGGGTAAACAATGGAAAAGATGAAATTGTTAAATTTTAAATGTTGAATTCCTATGAAAATAAAATTTGTTTACCAAAAAAAAAAAAACCTGGCACCAGCCCTGCCTATGAGCATCTTTAGAATTCTGACACATGATGGTAGGCGCAAGCACAAAATGACTGCCACAGGAGGTGGATCTAATCACAAAATGTCAGGGAGGAAGGTTATGCAGGGAGAAAGAGTTAAATTAACTCTTCAACATTTCAGGCAGAAGCTCTGCTTAACAGGATGCCTTTTTAAATGAATATATTATTTAAAATATTTTATTGCATACACACAGTTTTACCTTCAGTTGTGCAGTAAATAACTTTGTGCTGTGGTGGCAGCTCTTGCCAAAGCCATTTTTTTAGAAGTCTGCACATCCAGTCAGAAGCCCTCCTGTACAGAAGGCTCACTGGGCCCTGGCCAGTTTCTAAAAACACTTGATGGACACCAGGAAAGATGCTGATGGATGCCATGGGCACCCACGGCCACCCTACTATAAGGATCTGCCATAGAAGTATCTGTCCTACTAGTAATCAAACAGTAGGCATGCACAGTTGAGTATTAACTTCTCAGATCCTAAAATGAAGAACCGCTGTTTGTTAATTAATTAACTTATTAGAACTAATCCAGTTTTAAAAACACATGCACACACCCTGCTGCATGGGAGAAGGCAGAATTCCTGTGCTGGTTTTGGTGGCTGAAACAGGAGGGGGGGGGCGCATGGGTATTTAGTCTGTGGGCAGCCAGCACTTACAAACATCCAATGCCCTAAAGCCAAATCAGATCAGCTAGATCAGAACTCTTGACATCTTTATTTTCCTTTAAAAAGAAGCATCTGAGGCCCCCAATAATGGGCTCACAGAAATAAGTATTTCCCCAATAAATATTGTTGGCTCCCAACAGTTATTAGCTGAAATAGAGCAGAAATGGCAAGCAGCCTTTTAAAACTAGGAACCAGACTAGACATAAGCGGGAGGGGGGCTATAAAGCAAGTTTATTTTGAACCAAAAATAGAGAGCACTGTTCCTCTCTGTGTCTTATGAGTGTGCTCCATCAGTTTTAGCATTTCTTCCCAGCCATGCCCTCTTCCAGTATCGGAACCAGGCTGGGAGAAAAAGGCTAAAAGAAATGCAGTGCAGTGAGAAAAAGCACACAACTATGTTTTTCTTAGAACTAGACACACACACACACCCAGTATGCTTTATACACAAATAAATAAACTTATGTATAAACACTAGGCTTGCCATTTGCCTTCAGGTGGTGGGAAATCTCCTGCCCCCAACTTTTGTTACCTGCTGGCACTACAGTGGATAGAGGAAGGGATTTAAAAAATCACTGTTGGATAACAGCATCATGTCACTTCTGGGGTAAACCCGGAACTGATGTCACACACATAGAGTTCCTGGCAATTCCTAGAGAAGCATGATATCACTTTTGGTTTTCCCCAGAAGTAACCTAATGCCATTGCTCAACAGTGCCCCCCCATGTTCCCACTCCCCTTGGATGACACCTACAGGATGGCAATCCTAATAAATATACGCACACACACAAAAAAACTTTATTGGCATGAAAGCACAAAATATCATGGAAATACGGGAAAATACTAAGATGCGTCAGTCACTTACACTTGGCTATTCAAGCCTCGTCTTCTGATTGCATAATATAAAAATTTTGCAACAGCCTCCATTATTTCCCAATTAGAATTAAACAGAAGAAAGTGAACAATTGAGTCATCAGAGTGTCAGCTCTCACCCTCTAGAAATGGAGTAATAAAACGAGATCGGATATCCCTATAGAGGGGGCAATGAAGTATGGTGTGTGTAGTGGATTCTATATCTTTTCGAGAGCAAGGACAAAGTCTGTCTACATATGGTATCTGGCAGTACCTCCCTAAAAGCACCTCTGATGGCAGAACAGTAAAGCGTGCAAGCACGTATGCTCTGTGATGATGTGGGGCTGTTAAACTTGACAGATACTTCGCAGTAGAGCCAATGTCAAAAGCCCCCAACCTACTTGGGGAGCATCTGCTGGCTGCACGTTTCCTAAATTCTTGCCTTTCGATGTCAAGAAATCTTTGTTTAATAATAGCATAGGCTTGTTTATCTAAAAAGGGGGCTAAATAATCCAGGGATATTCCCATTGTAAAGAGTTTCTCCTCTACATATCTAAGCCATGGAGAGAGATGGGACTCAGTTAACGTGCAGTAATAACACGTGAGTAATAATACGTTTAGCTTTAGCATGGAAATGAAGTTTAAGCCAGAACTGAGTTGTTATCAGCCATGCTCTGGTCGATAGAAGCCTTTGACTGGTTTCTAAGCATAAAGCTGCATAAGGAACACAAGAAGAAAGTCCAATGGTGACCATAAGCTTGAGCAAGTAAGATACTTTAAGTACCTAGGGCTTTATTTTCATGCCACCACAAATTAGACACTCCAGCGCAGGATAGCAATTAACCTTAAGGCAAATGTCAATGCCTTCCTACAGTTTTACTTCTCAGAGAGGGGGAACCAATTTGTGCCATCTGTGTTAAAAGTATTTAATATAAAAATAGAATCCCAACTACTTTATGGAGCCCCTGTGTGGATCGAGGCAGTTAATAAGTCAATTGAACAGGTGCATTCGAGCTTTTTAAGAAAAATACTAGGGGTTCCACCTTGCTCCCCATATGAGGCCCTCTGTCCGGAATGTGGTCAAAGCCTTATGTCTATGAGGGCATGGCTTATGACCTTCAAATATTGGGCCCAACTGCACTATAACTGAAATCCCACTAGCTATAGTTATCAGATGTTAACTGAGACTGAGGGTTCACCCTGGCATTCCATAATAGAGAAAAAACTGAGATCCTTGAATATCTCTATTGAATCTATGCTGATGCTCTCTGAAACAGAGGTGTTCCACAAAATAAGGAGCAGATTACTGGAGGCAGAGTTGTGGAACTTGTATAATGCAGCCAATAAGGCTTGTTCCCCTCTGAAGCATGGGATAATTCCCATGGTAAGATACTTGCACAGTTATTTCTTCCAACTGCAATTTCCAAAATTGCGCAGAATTTTTACACTGGCTAGGCTTACCCTTGGCAATTTTATTTGGAAGATTCCAAGGTATTCCCTCTGCCCATAGACTTTGCCCTTGTACATGTGAAACGATTGAAACAGTGTACCATGTGCTGTTTGAATGTTATTATGCTTCCATTAGGAAACTAATTTTATCACCAATTTTGGGTAGAGTGTTAGATTGTTCCAGGCCAAACAAACTACTATTTCTGTTGAATAGCACTGAGGAAGACATAACTGAACTTGTGGCAAAGTTTTTACTGGCTGCTTCTATACGTAGTAAAATTTTGTAGTCACTCAATATAGGGTAATTTTTAACGAAATTCTATCTTATGCAGAATCTGATTTTTAAAATACATTTCTCAGATATTATGTTTTTACTCTTGTGAAATGCCATTAAAGGAATTGTTTGTGTGTGAAGGAAGTCCAAGAAATTTCCGCAAGGATCTGGACTGAATCCTTTCCAAGTCCCCATTTAAGGTAATAAATATACTCAAGGAAACTTATGTTGCACGTAAAATACAGGAGTTGGGTTGTGGTTTTCTCATCCTCCTGGCTAAATGTAGTACCTACGCGATGACATGTTGGCTGCTATCACAGGCACTAAATAATCCACTTTCAATCCACTTTCAGTGCACTTTCCAACTGGATTTTGCCAGTTCACACAGTAAAATTTAGTTCTAAAGTGGATTGAAAGTGGATTATTTAGTAAAGTGGATGATTTAGTATGCGTGATCGCAGCCTTAATTTATTATTTATATGTTATCTGTGCTCACTCTGCCATGCTTTCCAATTCTTTTTGTTTTCAAAAGCCTCCCTTCTCCACTTAGTAAGCGAGAATTTTAATTACAATAGGGGGTGCTCTCTCCTATCTGTCTGAAAGTTGGAGGAAGGAAAGGAAGATCCTTTGTGAGAGGAGCACAGTCCCTGATCTTTTGATCTTAACTGGATGAACACCAAATTACAGCCTGAGATGATTGACGGCATGCGCGAAGCGTCCGAATAATAAAGAGTTCAGGTTGCTGTATAGGAGCTATATACAGTGGCTTTTATTTAGAGATATATACACTTAGTCCATTCACCATGCCTTTTCCCAGATTCACAGAACTGACCGACAAGGTGCTTCGCAGAACGCTCTCACAGGTGTGGAACACTGACTATAGGACTACATTCCTTATATACATTACTAGCACCAATCAGAGACATTTTGCCAACTCATGGTGACAGTTAATTGAGGTGATGCAACTTAGTGCAATCTGCATCTGGTGACCCTGTCACATGACAGTCTTGCCTGTCACCTAGATCAGTTTAATCTTACACATGCATCACTGGCTGTCATCTTGTCTGCATATAATACAATGTGCTGTCAATGATTCCCATTGAAACCAGTGGAAATGAAAACCAAAGTGAATAATTAAAGCAAATGACTTTAATAGCAAACTGAAAGAAGCCAAATCAAGGAAGAGAAGAACACATTTTTGTGCACGAATCCCTGTTATTAACAAGAGCTGTTAACAAAGATGCTATCTACAACAATGACTTCTCTTGATACCCATTACTTTTACTTTTCCTGATTACTAGTTGTAGTTTATTAAAACTAAATTGGAAAAGCAAGTCATTTCATAGGTGTCATCCAGCAGTTGTGGGATGTCTCTGAGCCGGTTCTAACACAGTTGTTCAAATTCAGACCTGTGTAGGCAGTCAACAGTAAAAAAAAATTAAAAAGCAAGCTACTGCCTAATTTCTAGATTGGCATCAAATAGTATTCACATCAACCAAAACATCTGGGTTGGTACCTTGTTGCTTCAACCCTGTTTTGCCCAGCAGGATAGAAAGGTGCATCATTGTTGTATTCATCAAATACACCCCATCTGAGATGAGCCCACTCATGGACCAAGACTCTACCTATACAAAACCAGTAAAAATGAATACACAATTATTTACATTTACAATATACAGTTAGTTAGATATTAGTTGTCAGCTTTTTCCTAAATCCCTCAAATAGGAAACATTGTACAGTCAAAATAGCAACTGGGTAGCTAGAAAAGTGATAACCAGGTATTAGGGCTCCTACAGCTTTTAAACACATGCACAGGGGCGGCCCGAGGTGAGGCTGCCCCCTAGGCGAGGCTACAGGTGCCAACCTCCCGGGAGCCCAGCAGCAGGTGGGTCGGGTGCTTGGTCGGCGGCAGTAGCTCCAGCGGCGGGTAAGGAGTGCTGCCAAGAGGGGGTAAAGGGCCGCACGGTCCCGGGGCACGCCGAGGCAGAGGGCTGGCTAGCTGGCTCAGGCATGGCAGAAAGAAAGCACCACGGCACCGGTGGCGCAACCTCAAGTTTGTGCACTGGGGGGGGGAGAGGATTGTGTGACTCAGCCAGCCATCCAGCCCTCCACCTCGGTGCGCCCTGGGACCATGCAGCCCTTTACCCCCTTCTTGGCAGCGCTCCTTACCTGCTGCTGGAGCTGCCGCCGACCGAGTGCCCGTGGCGGGAGGAGGTAGGTGGCGAGGGGGTAAAGGGCTGTGCGGTCCAAGGCAGAGAGCTGGCTGGCTGGCTCAGGCGCTGGCAGAAAGAAAGCGTACTGGGGGGGAGAGGATTGTGTGAATCAGCCAGCCACTGAATCAGCTTACCTGCCGCTGGAGCTTCCGCCGCCACCACCAACCAAGTGCCCATGGTGGGAGGAGGTAGGTGGGCAAGGAGCTGGGCTGGGGCTCACGTGCACCAGCCAGCCAGCCAGCAGCAGGGCACGCTTACCTCAAGTCCTGCCTGGCGGTGCCTGCAGCAGCTCCGGCGGCCTTGGCTCCCCTGGCAGGCGGCAACAAGTGCAGCCCCGGAGCAGGCTCCCCTCTTAACCCATGGCCTCTCCCCACCGGCCATGGGTAAGGAGAAGTCACCGGAGAGGGGCCAGGCAGGCGGGATGTTGAGGGGAGCCTCGGCGATCTCCAGATCGGTGCCGGCTTTTGGCAGCGGGGAGGCGAACTTCGGCGCCCCCATCCAGGGCCTCCTGCTCTAGGCAGGTGCCTAGTTGGCCTAGCAGGGGAGCCGGCCCTGCACATGCAGTTGAAGAAATGTTGCAAGATACAGCTATAAGATGGTGATATTTTTAGTTAGCTTTCCTTGGCTGTGCACCTTTTAAGTGGAATGGTAATGGCTTTGACTAAGGCATGAGTGTGGAAAAGAGCAGTTAATTGAAGCATTCCTCTTCAACCTTAACATATGGTCCTTACTGAAACTAAAAAAACCCAGGGTCTGGAAAGGGCCTTGGTAGAAGACTTTCCAAGAAGCCTAGTTACAGTACTTTGAGTTCCACAGAAGAAAATAAAAAATATAACTATTAATAAGTAAGTAGTAATACATTATTACTGGTTGGATCCAGCAGAACATTTCCATAAATGGAAGGATTTTCCCCCTCCCAAAGCAGACCTCTAATTCCTCCATCATGATTTTGCTGGGGGTCCTGTCTCCCAAGACAAGCCCTGGGACGGGCATTTGGGGCTGCAGCGGGAGGGGGAGGTAAGGTGTTCCCTTCCACTGATGGAAATCCCTTCTAATAGAAGTGGTTTTTCATAGGATCCAAGCAGACATTTATAAATGTGGAATATGTCTCTATAGGTTGAAAATATGGTGATGGATCTGATGCAAATACTGTTACTTGACAGTCGTAGTGCAAAAATTATGGAACTCTCTTATTCATCTTTCTCCTTTTATCATCCACCTCTGCCATTAGATGAAGACTTTTTTGTTTTGTCTGGCATTTTTTCAGTGACTCCTACCTTCCTGCTTTCTTTTTTTTAAATTTATTTGTTATATATGGACCACCTTCCTCACTGAGACTCAAAGCGAATTACACAGTATAAATTAATCAATAGGATGAGACATCCAATAAACAATGTAGTAGAATTTGGATTGACAAAATCTGAAACAGAGTTGAAGCAAAGTATAAGCTATAACATGATCAAACACTGCAGAAATTACATATATAGGACCACACTTACTGAAAGAAACAATATATATTATGCAAAACATTAATTAAAAGCCCTGCCCCACAACTAGCCATACCAGAAACCTTATTTTTGAGGATAGACTCCCGCTGCCTGCTGCTAGCAGCGGCCAGGGTTATAATCCACACACTGTCTATCCATTTACCAAAGCATCTCTCTGAATCATTTCATTAAAGTACAGTTCTGTCAACTGTGTAAAATAGGCCCTCCTGAATAATTCAGTTTTGCATACTTTGTGGAATTCCAGGCCAGTGGCAGCCTTCCTGACCTCATCAAATAGGCCATTCCATAATGTGGGAGCCACAACAGAGAAGGCACATGTATGGGCAGTCTTGATTTTGCCTATTTTCATGGTGGCACCTCCATAAGACCCCACTCAGCTAAGCAAACTTGTCTAGTAGGGTTGCCAGCCTCCAGGTGTCACCTGGAGATCTGCTACGACAATTAATCTCCAGACAGCCAAGATCAGTTTCCATGGAGAAAATGGCTTGCTTTGGAGGATTGAGTCTATGACATTATACCTTGCTGAGATCCATCCCCTCCCCAAACCCCTTCCTCCTCAAGCTCCACCCACAAAATCTACAGGCGTTTCCCAACCCAGAGGTGGCAACCCTATGGCACAGCATGGGGGAGAGAGGGACCTGCAATTATGAGGTATTAAGGCCATGAAGGGCTTTGTATGTCATAGCCCATACCATGAATTGAACCTAGTAACTGATGGGCAGCCAGAGGAGTGATTGCAGAAGACCAGTGCTTGCACCTTATGCAAGCACAATCTTTTGCCCACCACCCACATCCTCGAAGGAATTATGTGGGAGGGGAGCCTATTGGAAGAAGAGAAGAAGAAGAAGAAGAGAAGAGATTGAATTTATACCCCGCCCTTCACTACCCAAAGGTGTCTCAGAGTGGCTTACAAACTCCTTTCCCTTCCCCTCCCCACAACAGACACCCTGTGAGGTGGGTGGGGCTGAGAGAGCTCTTGACAGAAACTGCTCTTTTTCAAGGACAGCTGTGCCAGAGCTTGCGACTGACCCAAGGTCACATCAGCAGGTGCAAGTGGAGGAGTGGGGAATTAAGCCCGGTTCTCCCATATTAGAGTCCGCACACTTAACCACTACACCAAACTGGCAGAAGCGCTGACCTATCAGGGAAGGCTGGCCAGCCAGATCTAATGGCAGCAACCATTTCCTTGTCTATTGCAGCCAGAGATGAGCTCAAAAGCAGACCACCGTGGTGACTTGCGGGGACCGGGGGACCTCGTGGTGGATTGGGTCTCAGCTGCAGGGATGAAGAACTTCAAGATCAGGTTGGAGGGACTTCGGCTTGCAGTTGCTCATGGGGGATGGAATGCTCTTTCCCTTCCTTTTATGTTATGTTATACTTTATTGTCATTGTACATAGTACAACGAAATTAAAGATGCAATCATTTCGGTGATCTACAACAATATTCATATACACTCACACACTATTCACAATTGTCCCATAACTTCCTTATGGTTCACATAGCAACTTAAAACCACCAATGTCACCCAAATTCCAATTTCATACTGCATTTAAGGCAATAATAGCTCTCGAATAAAAACTATTTTTAATCTATTTGTCCTTGCTTTAATTGTCCTATATCTTCTGCCTGAAGGCAGCAGTTCAAACAGGGAATGTTCAGGATGTGACAAATCCTGCAAAATGTTCTTTGCTTTTTTCAAACATCGAAAACTATACAATTTCTCCAGGAATGGGAGAGGGCAGCCAATGATCTTCTGGGCTGTAATGACAACTCTCTGGAGTGCTTTCGTCTCCACAGCCGTACAACTGGCAAACCAGGCACAGACACAATATGTTAAAATGCTCTCTATTGAGCAGTGATAGAATTTACCTTTCTTCCTTTCCTCTTACCTGTGCACGTCGGGGACTTTCTTTGCTTGGGGGAGGTGAAGGACGCAGAGTGCGCCCGGTTAGGAACAAGGACCCGTTGGGTGGGGGTGCAGGTCCTCCCTCCCCTGGGGGAGCTTCTGACCGCCTCTGCAGTTTCAGCCCCACAGGGCTCGGGTGGTGGGCGCGATCCCCCCTGCCGACTACCTGGTTACTGAGGTAGCATGCTGGGGCCCGGCTGGGTGGAGCAGCAATGTTGGCGCATCGGAGCGGGGCAGCCGATGCCGGGTCTGGCCGGACGGCTCTTGCACCGAGCCTCATGGTGACATAGAGGAGGACCTCGTGATGTAGAACATGCCTCCATGAAGACTAGGGGCGACTTCGACGGGGCCTGGGTGGCGGGGTGCACATGATCGCCCTCAGGCCACCCAGCCCACTGATGGTGCAGCATGGTGGGACCGATGTTGGGCGTGGACGTGCCGTGGCCTCACGCGGGGCCTCGCAGTGACTGTCTGACTCCCGCACCTGGCCTCGTGGTGCCGGGAAGGAGGGCCCCGTGCCAGAGGATGCACCTTCGCACGAGCCATGGGCAGTTTTGGCAGGGCCTGTACAGCGAGGCCTGGGTGGTGGAGGTGCACAATTGCCCCCCGGGCCACCTAGCCTGCTGTTGATGTGGCCTCGCACGGGGCCTGGCGGTGGCTGTCTGCCTCCCGCACTGGACCTTGTGGCACCACAGTTCAGGGCTTTGTGCCCGCTTCGTGCTGAGGTTTTGGGAGGTGGCCGACGGCAGCGGTGTGGCTCCGTGACCTGCGCTGCAGAGGGGGCGCATGCCCCTGGGCTCCCAGGGTAGAGTGGCTGTGGCCCACCGGGGCCTGGCGCCATGGTTTTGCACAGGGGGGTGGCCAATGGAGGTGGCATGGCTCTGGGGCCTGCACCGTGGAAGGGGTGCGTGCCTTGGGGATTTCGAGCCAGGGTGGCTGTGAGCCGCCGTCGCCTTTGGCACCTGGGGAGGAGAAGAACCCTGTAGGGCTATACTGG